TTTTCTCGTCGCAGCAGCCGCGCAATATCGGCGGCGAAATTGAAAGCCGTTTTTCACGGCACCCGCGAATCAAAGTGCCAGATTACCCAGCCGAATATCAATTTTATTTCGCACACTCGGCTGGTTTAATATCGCATAAATTTTAAGTGAGCAGACACACCGACGATTCTCGATCGATTTCCCTCCGCGCGTTTGGATTTTGTATAACGGATTTGAAGGGGCTATGCTGGTCTCTATTTTTTTTTTTCGGTCGGGAGAGAGCTTTGATCACAGCTCGGCCATTAAATTACAAGCGCGCGGGACATTTTTATGCTGTCGGAAACACCTTGCAGGCATCACTTTTGTTCTTTCCCAAAACGAGAGACGGCGCCCCGAAGAGATCCTGAGGAATGTGCCATGGCAACACTTTAACTCACGGACCTTGTAAAAAATAAAACATAGAGCACGAAAATGTTCCCAGCAGGCTCTGACACGGATTTCTCAAATTCTTCCCATCAATTTGGTGAAAGGGTTTCTCTGATATGTTGTAATGAACCTTTTTATTGAAATATTTGCGTAAAAAAATTTAAATGGAATGCATTTTTAAAATTAAATTTTAATTGGTGTTCAAAATGCAGCCAGCATTCAGTCACGTTTTAATCTTAATTTGAGATAAATCTGTCTTAATCTATTAATTAACAAAATTTCTCAGTGATATCAGTTTGATCGCAGCCGTCGGATGACACTCTAATTTGCGCACGTCAGCGCACCCGTTGGCGATAATTGGCCTGATAAGTGCTGATGTGTGCAGCGACGAAGGTTCGCTCTCGGGGAGTTGCAAATTAATCGTCTCTCTTTCTCTCTCTTCGATAAAATTAGCATTGGGTCGCGGGCAGGGGCGCGCGATTGGCTGCAACATGCGGCTCGATCTTGTAACCTTAGATTGGTTTACAACATCTCGGCGAGATGAGTGTGGGGTACCCGGGAGGCGTGGTCCCTCCTCGATCTTCTCTCTCCGTGTGCTGCGGCTGCTCTTTTTATCGCAGGTAGAACCAGACTAACGAGTATACGGGAAAATCAAGTTTACGCCGCATGAGAAAGAAAGAGCGTCTGCTTCGCTCGGATGGACGACGCTTGTTGTCGTTAAGCGCGCGGCCATATTGGTGCATCTTGTTTGTATGTACTGAACACATCGTACATATACATTTACCTCTGCAGTCACTCTTTTAAATTGTACAGTAGCAAGCAAAATAAAAATTACACTCAAGTGACATTCTCAATTGCAGCAGAGGACAAATTCAAAGACACGCAATTTTATTTTTCCTCCTTATAGATAGTACTTTATCAAAGCTTTTTCAACCTTAAAAAAATATTGCTTTAAATTTGATGAAGCATTTTACATTTTTTTAACTAATCTCTTTGAGTTTTAAAAATAAATATTATGTAAATATAAGAAATTTGATTGCATTTATTATTCTCTAAATAAAAACTGTTGGGAGAAAACTAATTAAAAAAGCACTTTTGTTTACCAAATTAAAAACACACTCGGGGGAAAAATAATTAAAAAATTATCACTACTCTGTTTTTTCAAAGGACAAGCTGTCACTATCGCACCGGCACAAATTTCCACGCTGGCCTTTCAAAGCGGCGTTTCTGCGTTCCGACTTTATCTCGAACCATTGTTGAACATAATTTTATTTTATAAGGCGCATGTTGGTGAGCTGCATGCTCGCGCTGCTTTTAACTGGGTGTGTCTTTTGAGCGCTTCTTTCCTCGCCAGCGCATTAATGTAAGCAGCACCTTTTTAAAATAAATTTAATGCTCTGCTCTCCGTTCTCGAATGTACATTCGTATACGTGTGTAGCACTTTATCCCAACACGTTTGACTGGCTCGCTCTGCTGTTAATGTGCGCGATACATAAAATAATGCCCGATCCGCACTCGCCCGGAATAAAACCGATTCGCAGCTGCCGCCGCCGATATTCTTGCTAATGCCTTCAAATGTGTTTAATTCTTTCGAAATCGTGATAAATATTTTTTATCAGCTCTCCAAAACATGCAGAGAATTGCAAATTGTGCGAATTGAGAGGTCAGCGATTTCCACGAGCGGCTGATTTTGAAACTCGAGCGCCAGATAACCTCTCTCATCACTTTAACACATTTAGCAATTTGAAACGCAGCGAATTGTGCACGGCCGGCTTGTTTTACAAAATATCACACAAGAGTGCTTTAACTCTCTCTGATTCTGGGAAAACCGTGTATTCACTCTCCGTCGTTTCAGTTGCTGCTGTGGATATTTTTGCTCTCGACAAAATTTGCACGTGCTGGAAATTTTAAAGCGAGTCAAAGATGTATATGTTATTTTAACATGAGCTTATGCTTTTGCTCGTTTTCTCGCAAGTCAACACTTGCACAGCACGGAAAACCAACTCGTGCCTGAAAATGTATTTAGAGCGCACAACAAACTTTGATAAAAACACTCGTTGCAACGAAAAAAATGCATAAAATATTCCAGGAAAAATAATTAAAAACTTTAAAATTTTTTCATTTAATTCATCAGAAATGGTTTTAAATAGCTTTGAAAATAGTCTTTTCTTAAATCTATACTTGGCCCAAAATCAAGTTATTCATAGGCATACAAATTACACACCGCATTAATGCGAAGACTGTTCTTTTGCGACTAATGTAAAAATCATCAATCAATTTCTAACGGCGATCCTCTTTGTCCCCCCTAACGCGGTGGAAAGAGCAGCGAGGGTCTTTTTGTGGCCATCACGTGTTGAGCATTGAGATTAAGTCGCATTTAAGTGATGCATCGGCGCTCTTTTCAACCACCAAGGCTTGATAATCTGATTCGATCTGAAAATGCAAAAAGAGACCTCGCTGTTTTTCATTCATTCGCCGGCCGAGGTGCATCTCTCGCTGCCGAAGAAGGCACGTTGATTATCACCAGAGCGAATCGAAATGCCGTCCTTAGATGGGAGGAAAATATTTCAATGAACCGATTCATTGCGATGCAGATGACGCAGCCAAGCAGCAGTATGAATTAAATGAATTGAAAAAATCGCGCATGTGCTGCGGGGGGCTTATCGCGCACATATGAATAAAATTGTGCGTGCGCAAAAATGGCATTCCCGGAAATGCAGTCCTTATTGCAGAGACCATTGAGGAAGTGCGGAATGCGCATATCAAAGCAAACAAGAGGATATTGACAAACGATTCCAAAATTAATGAGCACGTCCGTCCGTTCGGCTCTCCGCAGACGTGACTGCCGCGGCCCTTGTCCTCACCCCAATACTTAGCAGGTAAAAAATAACAACTCGCCGTTGGTGGCGACCACGTTAAAAATGACGAAGAAAGAGAGGCGCCGAATTGACAGAATCAGATAAGGCGCGGATTGTTGAGCGCGCGTGCGGCTCATAGGAGCAATAATAGCAAAAATAAAATTTATAGACGTGTCGACTGAATTTGAATTTGGCGGCTCTTGTGAAAAGTGAAGTTATAAAACAAAGAATGAGCCGCGTGATTTGCATTTTTTAATGCCATCAATGAATCACAAATATGGAAATGCTATACATAGTCCCTCGAAAAATATTAATGGGCAGTCGGTATTCCTGAATTTTGGAATCAAACAAATGATAAAAATAATTCAAATAGTAAGAAAACTAATTTAAATTTGGATTGGAATCAAATTTATTAAGCATTGAATTTATGTTAAATCTCGTTTCAAATTTAAAAAAAAAAATTGCTGTCTCGATCGTTTTATTTCTCCACAACTGCTGCACGCTCACGGACTTTGATGAAATGTTAATTTCAAGCTTGGTGGGTCGAGAAACTGCTCCTTCCAGCACATTATGACAATACTCGTAATGACGCATGCGGCCGTTGGCTGATGCTTTTCAGCATGGCATACAGCATTAAAGGGTTCGTCGTCGGTCGTGGTCGTTTCAGGTTGACGACTAATTGAAATGACCTGCACGGATCCATTATAGAGGAAAACACAATGACAGTGGACATCACGTGCGCCGAGGCGATCTCATGCATCTGATTATTGCCGAGCCGATCGGTCTGTTATATGCGTGTGGACTGAAGGAAGGGAAAAGAAAAATTCATTCACGATACGAGCAGCAATAAAATTGTATTATATTTTCTTGGCTCTAAGCAGGAGTGCGCGCAGGGAAGAGAATATAATAATAAGAGTCAAGAGCAGAGTCGTCGCATATATTTCTTTTAATTAATGAGGCTAATTAATTTTCGAATAAAATTTTATTGGCGTGTTTATGCGAACGGAGAGAGAAAGAGGTCGAAAGTCCGTACATATTGCTGCAGTGCATATATGTATTAAGCGAGAGAGAAGAAGAAGAGAGTGTTGATTGGCGATAACCTCGCGCACGTCAACACGAGATGTAACAAGCAATTAAAAGGTCGATCGATATCGGACCCCACACAAGCCACTGCGTTATTATATCTATTTTATTCCGAGAAATAAATTCGACGTCACCATCGGCTACGGGCGATGATGAAGCGCGAACAGCAAAACTAACCAGTGAACCCGAGAGCCCCTGCTCGCACTGCTAATAAAAAAAAAAAACTAATGTATGTGGAGTGATGTTCTTGTATGACTGTTATTGTATTAAGCGCCGTCATCATCACATTTTGCAACTCAATATATTTTCGCTGTTTAACATATTAGATGTCGTTTTTGCCGCTTCGTGTGTGGCACGATTCGCTGCTGGGGTCGCGACTCCTTGAAACGCGAACGATTCAAGCAGATAAGCTGCGCTGGTGCGAATTGGCTCGTATTCGTAATATAACGCTTTCGGCGTAACAGTGTGCTCTACAATGCCACTTTATGCAACAGACATTCCCACGTCATACAGACGGAAGAAAAAAACATGCAGAAATAAATTGATTTAAAAACAATTTTGATAACCCTTTGCCTTAATTTGAATAAAAAAGTCTCATCCGCGCCGACATGTTTATTTGAAATAAATTAAGAGAATAAATATAAAATAACTTACCCGTTGAAGGGGTAGGGTCCAAACGCAGCGTCATAGGGGTGGTAGACGGAGGGGTAGGGCCACCCTGGAGGCGCCCCGGCCAAGTTGTCCTTGAGGTCCAACCCTCCAGGCTGAAAATAGAATAAATTTATGAGCATATACATGTCACAAAGAGACATATTATCTCATTTCTACCTTATATAAATCATGTACATATGTTTCTGTTATTTTAAATGTGTAAGGAAGTCGCAGCACCTGTCCCAATTAGCGAAGATTAATTATTTTCTGAAAGGGTATCGGTGCTGGTGGTCAATTAAACTTATAATTTCTTGGTTTATCAATTCACCTGAGGGCACGAGAATGACATAATTAGAGACACAACAGCCGTCCCAATTTTCGTGATCACGCGTCGCATACTTTTTCAACCAAAAAATGCTGGCTGTGGCTGCATTAAGCATAATAATTATACAGGCTGTCGTCTCCGTTTGGTAATTCGGTTATAAAATGTCTAAAAAACTGTCAAAGTTCTATGCTGGTCTCCTCATTTAATAACGTGCCAAAACTGTAATTTACTCATCACCTTGCGTCAGGTTTCGCACGTTTCAATTAAACCAAAAAGGTGATCCACAGCAGCTGATCAGCAAGAGCTGTCTGAGTTTTATTGCTCATAATTACGCCTCTTGCTCATAAGATCGATATCACGTGTGTAATTAAGTGTCGAGAATTAGTTTATCCACAGAAAATTTAGTCTCATCTCTTTGGATCACAACATTGCAGGGTCTATATAATATTTTTCTTAATAAATAAATTTAAAAACTTTGGCGAGAAAAAAAGAAGAGGCGGAAGCGATATTTTTCATTTTGAAAGCAGGTCGGACTGAATTCAATTATCATCTAATGAAGAATTTTTGTCTGTGTAACCTTCGGGCCGCGACAGCTCGCAGAACAACAACAAGCGTACCTTTTATAAATTTACACGATAAGAAAGTTAATGGCTCTCTGTTTGCAGCGCATAATAAATAAAGCAGCTATAGCGCAGGTTAAAGGACTGCTGGCTGCGCTGCTGCTGTTGTGTGTGATACATGTGAAGGGCTCGTTGTCGTTTTATTTTATTTTATAAACGCGCTCGGCCTTTTATGCACAGTTTATCGCGTCTAGATGCTCCGCTGACTGTGAGCGAGCGGCAGCAAAAACATTTTCATCCTCTCGCACGCACTCTCAATTAATGCAATAACTCACGGGAAAATGCAGTCGCTCTTGCGATTACGCGTCAAGCAGATATTTCACAGCCTCAATCTTGTTATATTTCCAACCCAACACGCCTCTGTTGTATATGAGAATAATAACAGGAAAAGAGAGGGAAATTTCCATCACAAATTAAAATTTTATTCGCTTTATTTAAATGAATAATTTTAGTACTGAGATTATAATATATTATTGATATTATTTTTATCAAACAAACAATAAAAAATTACTTTTAAGACTCTTTTTTTATTTTGATTATAAGAATGTAACCAAATTATTGTTATTAAATAAAAAAATTTATACTTATAATAAAAAGCAATTTATTATTGTAGAATATTTATTATTAATGTTATATGACGAGACAATGCAATAATAATCAAATTTCTTTTTTCGGTTATAGAAAAAGAGACGCCGTATGACAACAAGACGACAAGCGGATGTAATAAAACAAAGAGACAATTTTTTTATGTGGCAAAATCGTCGCCGCGCGTCAATGTCCTGATAATTGCTTGAAAAATACTGCATGCGCCGCGATATGTTAATTGGCAGGCAAAACTTTCGTTGTGCACATGCGACAAAAAATAATTATATTATTTAGAACAATTTTGTCAGCACTTTACTCAATGTTGTTTTGCACAGCCAAAAATAATTTTTTTTTCGAGATATTTAAAAAAATAACTTATAGGCAATAAAATTCAGCACCTGGCTTTTGTTGATGTGTGTCTTGCTCTCTCATTTATTAATTTAACATGAGTTCGGTTTGTGCGAAAATGGGCGAAAAACACAGCCGAAATCGATGGTATCTGGTGTCGAGGGAAGTAAATGGACTTGCCGTTTCGGCAGATGCTGCTCGCAGATTAGAGCCATAAAAAGAAAATTAAGAGAGGCCGCCGCGGCGCGCGATATCTAATGCACGCGGTGGCTCAATATTTATGGCGTCCTCTGTACATGGTGCTGAGCCGCGTGTAATGTATAAAAGGGACGACACATGAATAAGTATCACCTTACACCCTACCATAGAATACCTCCGCGGAGGGCCAACTTTTCTACCTAACTAGCGCCTCATCTCCGCCTGCAGCTTTTTTGTCCCTTTGACGCTAACAAGACGCGACTTTAGCTCAACCAACGCTGCATCCAGATTTTCGAGGAAACCTCAAAAAATCCAAAAGTGCAGCAGCATCCGCGCCTACAATCCGCTATAGGAAAAGAAAGTTTTAATAACTGATAAATAATAACAGCCAAAGCTTGACTATCTATTTACATATCTTTTTAAATAAATAAAAATTTGCATTTTTTTTTTCTTGTTGGTTTTGTGAAAAGTTATGGAGACTTGAAAAGGCAACTGAGCACCTGCTGCTGCCAAGGAGAGAGATATTCAGATGAGATAAGAATTAAAGAAGGTGCGAGTCGTGTAACTCAATACAGCGTCATTATAAGCTCCTCTGCTACTGGGTATTATGAGGTGCCCGACCTTCGCGTTTTGTCCCAAACTTTGGCCCGCAGAGGATTTGCCGCCGCCGCGGATTAAAATTTACTTCTGCGCGCACAACTGGAAAAGCGACCAAGTTTCGCCACTTGGAGAGATCTAAAAGACTCTTCGCATATACATGCTTGACTTGAAACATAGGTGGTCGACATCTGCTATTCATTTTAAATTTAATAATATATTAGCTGTGGAGCCCTTCGTCTGTAATTGTTGTACAATTTCGCTAATGAATGCAAAATAAAGCATCTATATGGCCAACGAAACTACACAATTATTTTTTAAATAATAAACAACTCACAAAAACCAGCATCGAGGAAAATTCAAATCACCATCGATCGTGAAATTTTGCTACACAAAATTTAATTATCATTCAATTTTATTGGTTATATTAAAATTTATTTATACTATTTAATTTAATAAACATAAATTTATTTTATATTTATCCATAATTCTCTGTTTTATTTTTGTGGTTTGCATTATACTGTCAAGCGATATCTTATAAGGAATTGCACTTAGTAAAAGCTCTGTGCTAATTGCGATAGGAAGTACACGTCACCTTCGGACGGGTCTTAAGTTAAAACACACTATCTGTATAAGTAGTAGACACTCTGTACGCAAATTTCCGGCTGCTTAACATGTAACAAAGCTCATACGCACGCTGCACGGTTAATTGCGGCTTCTCGTCGTGGAGGCGAGCATCGAGAGAGACGCGCGCACATCAACCATAAAAGAGACACCTCGCTGCGTGTAATAATCTACGCGGGGCTCTCCACCGCGTCCAACATAATCCCACCTCATCGCAGCATGCATACTAATAACTCCAAAGGTGTTTTGTTGCGCAACAAACACATACATACACGCTTTGCTTTTGGGCGATAAATTTTCGGCAGCTGAGTGAGAGTGCAGGAGGAATGACTCGTTTCAAAAAATATAAAATAAAAATTATTATAACATGTCAGCTTTATTTTGGATGCATAAATTTATGGAGAGGTAGAATTATTGATTTACTTCCAGACATAAATGTTTACATCTCGTCTGACAGAAAAAAAATTCAGTTTTAAATTTTTATCGTTTCATAATTATACTTGAAATTCTGTACTTGAATTTTCCGCGGTTTTTTCTGATTGTTTTTGGTTTTCTTAAGCCACATTGCCATTTGAATTAAGAATTTATTTTCACATCATTAAAGTGAATTAGCTAAATAAACTAAATCCCACGCAAAGCTATTTTGATTATTGAAAGGTCAATGTTATGTTTTGAATGGAGAACGTTCCAATTAGCAAATCAATAGTGGAAACCGCCTATATTACTGCGAGTGAGAGGCGATGCAATAATTAGGGAGCTGCTGACGGCCCACACGCGGTCTGAATTGCAGCTGCCCTACGCGGTGCTACTACTTTAACTCATTAATGGCATGTCCTAATTTGCGCGGGCCTAAACGGTCTCGGCGCCGATTAAGGCAGCCCGATTATTTAATTATTATACATGCAGGCGCTGTATATGCGTGCAGCATTTTCAGATAGAGGTGCAGCGCGGTCGCCATATACGCATTACAAGTCGTTACACCGTGTATGTACAGTTTGCGTTCAAATGGACGGGTCAGCCATCGGGGTCGCCGCGTTACAAGTCGCTGCTGCATTTGAATATGTGCACCAAGGGTCTTCACTTTGGTTTTAATACGCCACGTTACGTGTCCAACCGGAGCACTATGCGCAGTTGAATTATGTTACAATTATCGATCATGTAAGCTTGGAAACATGAAACTTAAATTGTATAATAATACATGCACGATGTGGGAAACTGGGAATTGCAAAACGCGAGTTATGTGTCGAGAACGACGCGGTTAAATCAGCATGCATGCTTCAAATCCAATTTGCTTCCGCTTTTATATATAATTAACTTAACTGGATGCAATCAAGAGCTACAGTGAGAAACGAGCGAAAAAAAATTATTTTAAGTTACTTAAAAAAAAAACTAAAAAATAATATTTTAAAAAAATTGCTCATTTACAATTTTATAATTATGTATGACAATTATGTAATTTAATTTTTCTACCTGAATGTTTTAAAACATTATTCCAGGATAATTTATGCTATCTGTAGCATTACGTCAAGTTTAAAACAAAAAAATTAAAAAATAGATAAGCCTTTGTAGCATTTTGCGCAGAGATTCTTTTGTTACAATTTTTTATAATAAGCAAGGTCTAAAATTGTTATCACGGCACCAAAATTTAGGAGTAAATTGGCTAATGAAAGAAGTAAGAATTTATTATGTGTATATAATGGAATAAGATTAGCTTAAGGGTTGTGTCAACTCACCGCTGTGGCATAGAAGGGTGGTTGGTCGGCGGCGCCGAGGGATGGGAAGTAAGCGGCCATCTGCTCACTGTAAGGGGCACTGTACATGGAGAGCGGCAGGCCGGCGGTGGCCAGTCTTTGATAGTTGAGGAGGTGCGTCTGCGGGTCGTACTGACACGAACACACACTCTGTCCGGTGATCGGGTCCGTGAACAACGGCCGACCTGAGTCGCAACACCGGCCGGACGCTGACGAAGCCAAAGGGGCTGCGCCCGGCGCCGTGGCCACCGGCGCCACGATGGGAGGACTTCCTGGGGGTGGTGGCGCCGACGACGACGCCGCTACTGGCGATGGACTGGAAACGGCCACCTGAGAAAAAAAACATAAAACGTTTTATTAGAAATATTCAGAAGCTATAGAATGATTTTATATTAATAAAATTAATAATGTTGATTAAGTGTTTACACTCGGTGGAAATCAATTAAAGCCAAAGGGTGATAATTTATGTTCTACGCAATGTAAACGCGATCGGGGCCAATAATATAGTTTTCCGACACGGGTCGTTCCATTAGCGTTGGACAATAACTTTCTCCGGATCAATTAGAACACGAGTCGATTAAAGCTCGCCTGATTTGCAATCGGACTATAATTTATATTGGTGACTACGAACCGTTGATTACAATAATAAAATTAAAGCAGTTGTTTGCTCTGCAGCTACTTTCTATTAACCAGCACTCGATTATTGTATTGCTCTGTATATTAACACAAAACAACAAACAAACACCGCGCGCGCTAACTCGCAATATAATTTGAATTGAGAGAGAGAGAGATGCAATCTGCGGCGCTGTGTGAATTAATTTTGTCTCGTCGCAGAGCAAAAAGGGCACGTGGATATTATTCCGAAGCCGAGTGCAATGTTTGAGTGTCGCGCAATCCAATTATACCATCGAGAGAGGAGACGGTGCAGCTATACTAATACGTTGGCTGCTTCGCCTGCACACCAACGTTCGCTACAAGAAGAGATATTATTTCACGACTCACTACTATGCTGCTGTGTGTGTCGCATGTGTGCGCGGAATTGCAATTATAAATAATTTCCGCCAACGATATCTACATGGTAATTGCTGTGCGGTCGCGAATTGCACACTGCATCAAACCCAACGATCGGGCATCCGATTACACAGTATTTGTCGTCGCTGTTTCCCGTGAAATTCGAAACAAAACTATATATTTCCACAAATCTATAACGACGAAGTTGGTCATGGTAATTTAAATTATGGAAACATATATTTTATTGTGAAACATTTCGCAGCACCGGAAATTTTATAATTTCATAGTGGAGGTCTTATTCCTGGGAAATGTTCCGCAGACCTACAAATTAATTTTGCAATGCTCTATGAAATAAATCAGAAAAAATGTATTTTTGCTATATGTACAGGCTTTAAAGCTTGCAGCAATGTCTTAAAAATTATTATAAATATCAAAAGAAAATTATATAGCTTAATTTAAAATCTTTAATTTATTTTTATAGATATATAATTTTTAAATTCCAAAATTACTTAAAGGATATAAGTTGTAAGTTTAAAAAAATTAGAATAAGAATTAAAAATTCGAAAAATTTAATACATAAATAAATTTTACAACGGATCAATATAGATGATAATTTTTTTAATATTACAGCAAAAATAAATATTTATATAAGACTTGTGCATGCAAGTTTTACACTTTCTAATACTTCCAAACCTCCAAATTTCCCATAATCAGTTGAAAGTGTGCCAAATTTGAGCAAAATTTGCCCTATCAAAGTCAGTGGCGTGCAAATATAAACAGCATAAAACTTTTTCCTCTCTGCAAATATAAATAGTCTCCGGCGCGTCCGTTTCATCGTGTTAATAAATATATATTCCGCATGCATGCCCGTATTTTATAGGGCTCATAATTTCACATAGCGCAGCTCGTTTGGGGTTGAATTTGAAAGCTGGTGCTGGGAGGAGAATGCCGTGGAATGACGAGTGAAGCAGCTTTTTAGGGGCGCGTAAAACGAAAATTAAACGGCTGTGCTGCGCGAAATAAAGAGCCCTCGAATGCTCTCGCGGCTCGGAAACCTTTTTTAAAAACAAATTTTCACGCTATTACACTGGTGCTGGAATTGCACGCGCCGAAATAAAACCGGCCGTTTACATGCTGTATTCGTTCTTGCCATTTCCTCCGAGCTATATTTGTCTCAACGACCACCAGGGTGAATGGAAGAAAGAACGTCGCTCCTTTTTTGGCGCATGTTTAATTGCAACTCCAGCAGAGGCAAATTAATGTCTTGTTTTAGAGAGGCATTTAACATTGCAAAAGTGAAGTTATTGGAAAAACATTTCAGATCGAGATAAAAATAAATTATAAAAAGAGAGGAAAATCCTAAAAATAAAAATAGCTAAATAAAGTAGTTATTTTTTAAACAATTTCAATTTTTGAATTTGCATAGACTCTTAAATAAGGAAAAACGACAATGCAGCTGATTAAGTAAATTTCTGGAATTTTAAATTCTTTATTTTGCTCCTGAAGATAACATTATATAACCTTTTATCTCAAATATTGATGGAGATCCAATGCTTGTTTATGTTTCAAATGAGAATCGTTTTTCCGGCTCGTTGGCCTAGCGTTTTGTATTATTTATTTTTACGACTCGGCCGAACAAACGAAGCATTAATTAGCGCGGCGCTGATTGGTTTACAGTTAAGGGCCATTCGCGCGTAAGTGCATCTTAATGGCCACTACCGCTACGCACGGCGTCACTCGCAAATGATGCAGCAAAGTGCTGCGGCCGAAATAGAACAAACCGGGTGGAAATAACAAGACTGCGCGTCCTGCTGGATAAGGATCGTCCTGGCGCCAGACGCCTCAGCAGGTATTTCTCCTGATGCGCAACCCCCCGTCGCGGGGAGATGAACACGACACACCGGATTATTATTTTCTCTTTTCGCGTCTCTCAAACTTGTTGACAACTTTATTTTCGAGTGGCAAAAACAAAAATATTTACAGACTTTCCAAAAATTCATTTCCACTAGGAGAGAAGATCGATTTATTTTTGGCGAAATTCGAATCGGCGAGAATAAAAGCGAGGCTGAAAGGAGACCGCCAGTAGTTGGAGCAGCGATTAAGACGAATTACAAGTTGCTGATATAATATCAATCAAAAATCACCGCCGCGCACTCGAGACGCCAGCTGATAAGCTACTTTTTCGTGTCGCCTTTAATGATTAATTATTATTATTAGCCTCCTCTCTCTCACTTGCACATTATCGCGCTCGTGACGCATTTTCGACACTCTCATTACACACGGCAGCCGTGTAGAATCAATTGCTGCAATTATCGCGATTCAAAAGGGCTGCGCCATTATCTCGCAATGTCTGAATTTTTTCGAATATATATATAATTTCACATTTATTTGAGCGGCAGGAATGTTTACTTCTGGATTTTTGGACTTTCATTGCACGTGCAGTGAAATTTCCAACTTGTAATCTGAATGGGTTATTTGTCCGGCAATATCTCGGTGGTGGACTTTCGCCGCGGCTGCTTGTTGAAAATCGAGGTAAACACTCGTGTAGGTACATGACGAGCCGGAGCACGGATTTTGGTGTTGCTCTGCAAGCAAAATAAGCTTTGAGTGCGCCCAGATTATTTTTCACACTGCTGCTCATAATGCTGCTGCTGTGCCGCGCTCAAGTTGATAACAGGAAAACACAATTTTGCTTTTTGGCAGCAGCACATGGGAAGGGGGTCTGCATGAGTAGCGCAGATTAATCAGCAGCCCAAATAAATACAACACGGCCAATTATCAACAACTGCAACTCAACAAAAAAAATGTATATGGAAGCCAAAGATTGGCTGAGAAAAATCAACTTGAATTCATATTTCCCTCCAGTTAGTTTAAAGCAATTTTTTTTAATTTACAATGAAATAAAAAATTGCTAGTTATTTAAAATTATTAACATATTTTTTCAAGTTTTTTATTTTAAAAATATTTTTTAAATAGTCTTCAAATAAAATTAATAACTCATAAAATCTAACATTTTCTTTTTATAAATTCCTTTCGTTACGATAATACAGTATTCCATCAAAATTATAATTTCCATATTTTTACTTTGTATTCAATCTGATTTGCAACATTAATTTTTCCAATTGGAAATTACTTGATTACTTTTAAATATATAAATATAAATTATTTAAAAGAAATTTAATTGCACTTTTATCTTTGTGTAAAGCTAAATTTTTTCATTTTGTCAAGTGTGTATCAAGAGCAATCATTAAAGAAGGCACACCCTGCTTGGCAGCTCAGCATCTGAGAGAGAAGTCGATAATGGTGACCGTTGTTGTCACCCTGGGCGACAGGTTTTGAGTCTCGCATAGAGCTTGGTAGCCCTTTCGCTTTGAGAGCGCCTTATCAGCGTCCGATATTAGAGCAAAGCTGCTACTCTGCCGGCTGCTCTTTTTATTTTCCTCTTTTTTCCCGCCGGCCCGACCGCCCGTTCGATGATATTGTGCTCTCAGTGTACACAAATAATATTGGAGCCGCCGCGTTTTTTTTTTCACCTCTTCTCTCCCACAGCACACAGAGCGAGCTGTGTACATTATACGGAGAGAAGCAGGGAGAAATATTTTATACGGTCTCATCAAAGAGCAGAAATATGAAGACTTTTTCGTCCTCTTATCTGCCGCCTATAAAATAAACATTACCTCTGATTTATGAACAATCCGTATCTGCTGTTCCGTCGTCGTCGTCGTAGTCGAGCCCAAGAGCTTCGACATTTGAATTTTTAATACAACACAAAACATGCAACCGCCACGTATATAAGGAGAATAATGCTGTTCGGAGGAAGAAAAAATACAAAAGATAAAGAGGTAATGAACTGGTAAAATCGTATTTTATGGATATCAATCTGAAAACCAAATGGGAGCTACAGATGAAGCGGCTCGGGGGGCGCGGAAAAATTACATCTCGTATCAGCACCTGGTGGGCGCCGATCAAGCTTGAGCTGCGATACTAATTGATTTTCCGTCCGTCAGACTTTCTTGAAATTATTTTATCGCCCATTGAGTTTTATTGTAAATCCTTATAATTTTTCCCGCTGATAAAAGAATAAAATACTGTTTTGAATTAATATAAAAAAGTCTAAAGGACATTTCAATAAAATATATTCATCCTTCAATTGAAGTCGATTTACCAAGTGAAATAAAAGCACGAAGTATTAATTTAACAACATTGTTTCAGAATGCCTTAATCAGATCTTTTGATTGATTACATAACTCTTTCTCGTGTTTTCTCTCTCCACATTAAATTTTATTTTCAAAATAACAAGTCAGAAGAAATATAAAACCAGTGCAATAAAAGTTAAAAAAAATATCACCTGGCAGAAATGCAAATTCACTCTTGAGCAATGTTTATATAAAAAAAAATACTTAACAAGATAACGAGAGATCATTTTTTGGCATTTTATGAATTTTCATTCCATATCAGATGCACCGCAGTGCACATAAAAACTATGATAATTAAAAATGCACTCGGTGCCGCAGATTGGGTCATGAGCATTAATTAGGACGCTTTATAAGAATAAAAATGTTATGAATGGGCATCGCAGCAGTTTTATAGCCTTCGGATGTGCACGCAGGTTATATATTTTCTTCACCCGCGCAGGTGCTGCGGAAGTGACGCGCGCGAAGTACCTTTGCAAAGGTTACACGCACCTTTTTATCAAGAAATACAAAATATATTCATTAAAAGCAGGGTGACTTAAACTCTAAATATTGAAACTCTTTCTTTATACATATTATTTAAATTTTTTAAACAATATTTTTTTAATGATTTGATTACTATTAAAAATTGAAAATTGATTGAAAAGTACAGAAAATTTAGTTAGTTTTTTTAATTAAATAAAAATGAATAAAAAAATAAAAAAAAATATAGAAAACAAAAATTGTTGTGAATATTTTGAACAAAATTTAAATTAAACATCATTTGATTCAAAATTATTCAAAAATTAAATTGTTAAACCGATAAAAATGTCTTATTTATTATGGCTCCTCTTCAGAACGGGAGAAAATGAAAACAATTAATATATTAAAAAGTAATTAAGGGCAGAAAAATGCACAAATTCAATGGCAATTAACCATAGTCATTTTTCAGAGTGGAAATTTGGTTTCATTTTTTTCTCCCCAAAGAGTTATTGATTTACGCAGAGTGCAGAGTGGTTTGTGTTTTGTTGCCGCGCTGTATGTGCGCGGTCTCGCACGTGTAACAGGGCGAGTTATTGCATTCTTTGTATTTTGGTAATTGGACAAAAATAGAATTTAATTGTAAAATAAAGGGCGCACACAGCTTTGAACTGGCTCGGCGGCAGTTGTTGGCGCAGCACAAAGCGACAAGTCAGAGAAATATCATCGTGCGCGCTATTGAATTACCTTCGGCCAACGCAGCGGCCGCGGCGCTGATTCTTTTTGTAATTTCATACTCGACTGGCTGTGCTCGCGCGCGCACCGAAAAAACGAAAAATTTTTGGCCAATTTATTTTAAATAAAAAAAGAGCATAGTGACTCTGACTGACTGGCTGTCTCGCGTCCCCCCGCGAGCCGCAACACAATGCGCGACTCGATGGAAAAATGTCAGAGCAGTAAACGTTTGAAAAGAGTCACTCACATCACATATATACAACCACGTTTGTCGCCCAGAGAGCTTTTCGGAGATCCTGTTGCGTTTTGGCCTCTGCGCGCACTCCAATGTGCTAATCAAACTAACGCGTTTCCTCGTTATACCATTTTTCAGAGCTGCTGACAAATTATGTTTCCTCGTCCATTATATGGCACAAAGTAAAAAGCGTCCACTTGTATCAAAAAACCTAATTATGAAGTTGCACATATTTTTCTTACAAAATAAGAGTTTAAATCAGATTTTCGGTGCGGAAAAAATTCTTAAATAATTATATTAAAAGCTGAAAAAGGTTAGTTTTTGTTGTTTACTTTCAAAAAAAAATGATGAATATATAAAAGTACAGAAAGTGCAATTAAACATAGTAAAATAAGCGCCACATTAATATCGGCCCCCATTTATAAATGTTCATTTTTGATAAAAATTTAGAAAAAAAAAAATTTAAAAAAACCTAGAATAATATATATGTTTTTATAACTATTTTTTAATTTAGTAAATAATTGAAAGTAGAGCTATTTTCCTCTACTATTGAATATTTTTGTAAAACCATTAAAACCTTAAAAACTTATAAAGTATTTTTTTTTCTTTACAAATGTAATGATTAAATTAAATACAGGAAAATTAATTATTTTTATATTTTATTTTCAAAACGCCAAGAGATCTTAATAATTTGTGTGTGCTATATTGTTCAAGTAAAATCACAGCTTATATAAAATTATGCCTATATACTTATAGAAATGAACAAACATGTTTGCCAAAATCAATTTAATCTTAAATAAATTGAAACAAGTTTAAAATATTTTTTTTATTATTCTATTGTTTGCAAATATTATAATTCAAAACATAATTGTTTCTAGGGATAAATATTTCAAAAGTAAAACAAATTTTTAATCAAATATCAACATTAGTACACATATAGATTCAAATTAAATTAATTTTTTTCGATTAATTCAAATATTAATATGATGTATTAATATGTCGTGAATTTTTTTGGAGATTATTAATTTAAATTTACTTTTGTCATCCTGCTAATTGGTAATCTATACTTGATTAAAACTATATATGAATTAAAATTTAAATTAAAAACTCCCTGACTGAGAAAATATAATGTGATTGTCAATCAAATAATCACTTTAGCAGATCTAATATACAACTAATTAATTAATTTTCTAAACCTGCTTTCGCCTGAAGCGCAATTCAATTATCGATTCCGAGTATTTCATTTGGGTGATGTCACCAAATATTTTCCCACGCATTATAAGACAATAACCGTATCAAAACGGTATTATTTGTCTTGTCTTAACAACGTTCTCGGGCCGTTGATTTATCGCCACGCGCACCCCAGCAGCAAAAAGCATCCCCTAATGGACTCCTCATTAGTGACGAAAATTATAACGTCTTCTAAGGATAGAGAAAAATAAATCAGCAAGTAAGCACGTGTTTAAGGCAAGCCAGCGATCACGCACGGCTTTATCGACGACAGTAGTAAAAATTACAAGCAGCGGGTTGGGCCGAACAACATGCTGAGCGCCGATACCCTGTAATTATGCCTACGTTCACCGGCTCGTTAAGGAAATTGAAAAGCAAAGGAGTTGCTTCCGGCTATAGATACCCTTTTTTATATAAATAAAAAAAGTTAGAATTTTATTCTGTACTTACTTGTGAGGTGCTTGACGAATGTGGAGGAGACCCCGCGGCAGCCGTGGCGGGGGTGAAGCCGAACTGTGACATGGTCGCGGTCATTCAAGCTGTCCTGTCGGCGCGCGTCACAACAACAACGAAAGAAGCGCAACTTGTTGCCAACACTGGTGCATCTCTGCTAGGCGAGTGCGAGAGCGGCGCTCGCGGCCTCGGCGGCAACAAGCGGGCCGCTTGCCGCTCGGCGAGTCTGGCGCTTCCTCGGACTCTTGAACCCCCGCACCAAACACACGCACGCGAGAAGAGCTGCTGCTTCTTGTGAGCTTTTCTTGAGAGCAAGGCGAGGGTGGCTACTGCTGCTGCTGCTGCTGCTGCATCCTCTTCCCCTCCACCCCTCAATCAGACTACTGACACCTTGCGGACGCACAGTTTGCTTGCACGCGGGCGGCTCTCGGCAGGGCAGAGGTGCTGGTCGCCTTGCTCCCTGAGTGAGTTTGACTGCTACTGAATAAGAATCGTCCACGGCGGGCGCTGCGGAAGGGGAGGGGGAATTTTTTCCCTGTCACTCGCCTGTGCAGCACTCACTCTTGTTGTCGGTCGGTGGGCAGAATTGGCAGAAAACGCGCTCGGACACGCAGCAGCTCGAAACGTGGAGAAGGAGTGCGAGCCGAGTTAGAAGCGATGCTCCTTATTCCACCCCCGAGCAGTACTTTGCATCCCTATCTACGCGGTCGCGGGCTGTGCAGTCGACGACTTCTTTTTTCACCGTGTTGTCAGTATCGCCCCCCCTCTCCCTCCCGCCGCATCTTTTCTTGCCGCCGGGCCCCCTCCACCCGGACGGCGGGATTTTTCTCCTCTTTTTTCCCCTCCCAGGGCAAGTTAGGTGAAAAGTAAAGTCGGCCCGATAGGTTCCGCCGCGACTCCTCGCTCCGCCCTTTTATACTCGACAAACTCGCGTCTCGCCCAATCGTGTCGCGCATGTTATTCTTTTTTGTATCAATAAGAGACTACAGCTTGCTTACTCGTGTTACCACCAGAGGTTCGTGTTCGTGTGAACCAGGGGTTACTCGCACTCGCTCGCTTGCCATTACAACAGCCAGCCACCGTAAAAAATGACGCGACACGATGCTGCTTTTTCCTCCACTTTATTCAATACCGCACCCGATGCGATGATGCACAGTGCACAGCTCAATGGCAATTCAATACTCTTGCTGATGCTAGTATGTTTTGAATGGCCACTTTTTGTGCGTGCGAACAGTTTTCGGTTCAACCAGACAAACTGCAAGTCAGACTCTAATGTGTTTCAAGACAATTTATCATCCTGAAACGCTCCCCACATAAGTTTCTCAAACGACCCAGGCTATATAATAACTATAAAATAATTTATTTTGGAGATCATTAAAAGATGACGTTTATAAATTTTACACACTTTCCTCATTAAAAAGTACCAATAAACTGAAGAAGCAAAATTTACATCAATTATAATTTGCTTAAAATAATAAGCTTCATATCATCAAATTGGCTATATCTCCTTTTTTTATCGGTACAATCATTAATCCTTTTTTGTATTCGATTTTTTTGACGCAATTAATATTAATCTAAATGTTTGAAGTTTTATTTCTATACAAATTTTAATATTCTTACTGGATGCGAACTTGAAAAAAGTCATATAGGTTGATTTCTTTTGATAAAATACGCCTGGAATAAGGTTGATACCTTAAAAACCTAATTATTAAAATATCCTTCAACATGAATAGTTTTATTAAAAATATTTTTTTGTCAATCTATAAACAAGAAGTTGGTATGTTATTTAAATACAAATCTACGTGAGAACAGCGGAAAATGTGAACAGATTTTGGAATTATGGTTTATTTCAAGTGCGTGAAAATTTTTCCAGATGGCAGCAAACTCTGCGAGGAAATTTTTCACGAGGAGGGGTAAGGTAGGTGTCGTATTGATAAGGGAGGTTATTATTTAAATGGGTGGAGCCTTGATTAACAAGAGGGATAAAAAAGGTGTTAAAGAGCGCTGCCGGGGAGGGGTCGCGCGCGCGACGCGGCGTACCATTATCAGCATGGAAGCAAAACACTTGCGAGAGCTGGAGGGAGAGCGATCGGTGGGAGAACGTGTTTAGAAAAAGGCAAAAGAAGGGGGCAATCATCTCCGTAATACACATACATAGTTATGTGGGCAATAAAAGGTGGGGAAGCGCCACGCTCGGCGCGGCGAGAGCAAAAAGTGTCGCTAGCTGACGAGCGGCTGCGATAGTACGCCGACGTTCCGTAGGAGGACGTCTCACGTCAGCGGCGCGAGAAAAACTCGCCGCGCGTGAAATATCGCTTTTTATTATTAGTTGGGCCTAGAGGACACTCGAGGCGCGGTGCCGAGGGTGGCGCCGCGGCACCACCCCTGCCGGTGCTCCGCAGTCGAGCGACTCCAGCGCTCCAGTCCTAGTCACTCTCGGGCGCGCAGCTCTCCCGTCCACATCCTCTCGTCGGCCCCCTCAGCGCTTTTAACCCTTTCGAAATAAATCTCCCATTCAAGAAGCTGACTCTCTTCACACGTCGTGTTTATACAATTCAATTCCCACACTCTTTTATAATGTCGGTGGCAATAAAATTTTCATGCAAATTACACGTACTTTTTGCACACGATTATTGGCCGCACGTTTATTGGCACCTCTTTTGGAGCAGCAACATTTTTATGAACAGCACCCAAGCTCGGAAATTACAATTATTATATTAATATCATCTACTACTAATATCACCGCCGCAATAAAACGGAGAGGCGCAAATTAATTTGGAAAAGTTATATTCCTATACACTATAATGTTCTTGGCCTCCTTTCCCTCGAGGCAATTCAAAAATGTCTATTTGAATGCAGTTTTTATTTGCATCTTTTTTCCGCGAGCACAACCATTTCTTTTCCCCCTGCTCAGTGGCGGCTCAATTCTCTCTTCAGTCAGCTACATATAGGAATCGATAAAAGAGCTCGCTCTCTATTCAGATACAAAGGGGCTCGCTAACACCCTTGCAGTTTGTCAGGATTTGTTGAGCACAGACTTATCGAATGGAAACACAAGTTTCCTTTTCCAATATAGTACAAAAGCCGGCGCGCCAAGCGGATATTTTATTCGCGCGCTCTCACCTTTGTATCGATTTGCTTTTGGCATAATCAATTCAGTTCTCTTATATACACCAGCTCTTGCAATAATTTTTCAAGTTCCTTCCTTTCTACGTCACCAACAATGCATTACAGGAGGCATATGAATTTGCTCATTCTATATTTATTTAATTATATTAGACGAATATTATTGAAAAAAATGTTGAAAAAGGGAACAAAATTATAATATACTTTTTCACGTGTAAAAATATTTAAAATATAAATTTAATTTTATTAAAATATATATCAAAAAGTAAACAATTATTATTAAATAAATTGAAAATAATAAACTAATAAACAAAAATTTTGAAATAAAATTTTTTTATGTGTTTTTCCACAATTTTTTAAATTCATATTCTGTTTTTAACCTTTGATCACTTCTAATTTAATAAAAAAAAATTATATATGAAACCACCATTGAATTTTAAGAGTAAAAATATACTGTTGTAAATTAAATATTTTGAACTATCAATATTTTCAATTTCAAAATAGAGTATCTGTGAGCAACGTTTGTAATTATTTGTGGTGGTGCGGTTGAGAGTGACGTGATGGGAAATATGGGCAAGGATATTATGATTAATTCGCATAAAGATTGATGGCCGCTGTCACACTTTCCACGGTTTGCGCACATGCGTTTCTTGTCTCATCCCAGCACGCACATATACGTTCGAAGGGGTGCAAATTGAGAGCTGCATCAACACCCCCTTTGAAAGCTTAAAACCTTCAAATCACTCTCACTATGTAGCAATATCCATTTATATAATTTTGCCCTTGATTTAAAAATTAACATTCGTCCGGCGATGCGACTCGTGAGGAATCGAAAGAATGAGAGACAATGCCCGATTGTATAATAATATAACAGTCCAGCTGAGTCACGCACGATTCGCTACAAGGAATGCCGCGGTCACTTACTATTTGCAGTCAATCGAGTCTGTCTTGCTGTCTGTCCAAATCTATTTTTTTCTGCTCTCCGGATTTTTGGTCCAGCAAGTCATAAAATGGTAAAGAGCCAAAGAGAGTGTTTTAGATTTTTGGGTATTATGCGCAGTGGGAACATAATTAATATTCATTTTCTCCGAGCTCGCTCTCTATATATGTCGTAATCAATTTAGGCTGGTACCATAATAAAACATTATTGAGAAAACACGTGTAGCTTTTAGTTTGGGGAATAGATACGGTTTTTTGGTTGCTTCGGCACCATGAGCTGCAGACGCGAAAAGCCCCGAGCCAGCAGAGGAACATAAAGGAATTTATTGTTTTACACCGTGCAGCGTAGCGTGTGGGCTCCTTAATGAGCATCATAGAGCTTTTGTTTCTGGGCACTTCTCCTTCGCGCGGCTCCACTTTGTAAACGTGTCTGTGTGCGTTTCGTCATAATATATAAAAGATCTCGAATTAGCGTTTTAAAAAGAGGAACACACACGGCGAGTCGCGGCATTGCACACACGCCTGTCATAAAAATTATTTCCAAAGCTGTTTATATACCACGTACTCTCTCGCCGGTTATATAGGGAGAAAAAGAAAAACTCCCATGGCACTTAAAGAAAACTTTATACCACCACACTTCTGCTTTTATGAATGTGCTCGGCGCACCAACAACGAGGCCGAAACTATTAAAAGAGAATTTTCAGCACCATCATGCGGTCAGCTCATTTATTTATTTATCTATTTATTAAGCCGCAAAGTACATAAAACAAAATTCCAAAGAGCAATAAAAATACTATGCCAGAATGTTTATACTAATTTCATATCCTCCCATATCCTTAAAAAAAAGGGATAGAAAAACATTGCATTATTTTTTCACTTCAACCCGACAGAAAATTCCTCACCTGAGTCACGTCCTCAAGAATAAATTTGTTCGATTCGGTTTGGCTTAAGAAAAGAGAGTCACGCGTGCCTTGTGTTTGGACACAGATGATAAAAGCCGGCTTTGCAGCTAGGTGTGAAAATTAATTTTTTACACGTACTTGGGCGTAACTAACACGCAGTCGCCAGCAGTTGCTGGGCTATTCTAATGCACACATCTCCGGGTGAAAAGAGACCCCACGCCATGAACAGTTACACACTCACACTTTTCCTGAAAAGATTCGTTTACATTCAAAAGTTTTGTGTCCGCGCTTTTGCTTTCTGCCGCGCGATGGGACAAAAGCACAACCCCTGATGCTTTTTTAAAAAGCACCGGCAGTAAAATTTTCCTTTTTATTATGTATTCTCCGAGCAAACGGTATATTATACATATGTGTGTTGTGCATTTTTGTTTCTCCCTTGTAATCCCGACGGGCAGCACCGAGATGAAAAATGTTGTTCAGGTTGACACGGAGAAGAGCTTAATAAGCCTCTTAGGACCACACAGGATCAAATTATTGAGTAAGCAGCAGTGCTAAGTCTGCGTGTCCAGCCACTGGTTTTATATAATCCGTTCCCCGGAGCAGCAGCTTTCTATTTTTTCTTCTAACTTTTCTCCCCGAGTTTCGCGTCACAATTGTGTAGATTTTCTGCTCCTCCCGTCTCTCTATCTCTCTTGTGTTATTTATTTCTCGGACGTTTTATTTATTTTTACCGAATAAATTTTTCACCTGCTTGCTATCTGCACGA